CCTGTCTCTACATGGCTTCTTTCCTGGTTGTACCTCCTATATGGTGGGCGTGTGGAATACGCTGCCAGCAGTGGTAGTGGAATCAGATACATTAGGGACATTTAAGCGAATCTTGGATAGGCACATACAGGATTGTAAAATGTAGGGTATGCAGGGTAGTTTTGATCTTAGTAGGATAATAGGTCGGCACAATATCATGGGCCGAAGGGCCTGTACTATTCTATGTTCTATGTCACTGCTGATATTGACATGAACTACAACAACATTCCACCTGCTCCCCCCAACCCCCTCCTACAAGTTCATAGATCAAAGAACTTACAATGTGGAAGCAGGCCATTAGGCCCATCGAGTCCACATCAACCCTCCATAGAGCAACCCCCTACCTCATCCCTGCATTTTTCACCCTATATACTGGAGGCAATTTAGCATAGCCAATCCACCGAACCTGCACATGTTTGGACTGTGGGAGGAAACCCACACAAAACGTGCAAACTCCACACAGACAGTTGCCCAAGGGTGGAATTGAACCTGCGCCCCTGGCACTGAGAAGCAGCAGTGCTAACCACTGAGCCACCATGCAACTGCAGAGCCAATGTCCTGAACCCCAGCACCAGGCAGTCAACACAGCTGTCTGGCCTCACGCTCTTTGCTGAAGAGACAATTTTAACCCCTTAACTACGCTGCCCCCTATGGCAACTACATTCTTCCTGGCTTGGAAGGCTTTCCCTACCATGGCTATGGTCTTTTAGCTCGTTCATCCCACAAACTGACAGAACTTCAAACCTGTTGGACAATTGCAGAGGCTGACACTCCTGCATTCCTGTCCTCTGGATGCCCTTACTGGTGCTCACACTGTCCTGTCCCTGACCACTGACTAGATTAGAACACCTTATCTTAAAAGGTGTGACTCTCTCCTCGTCGAGAGAATCCAGGGAACTGTCCCCCTCCCTGATGAATGACAATGTCTGTGGTTCTGCCTGCAGCTCGTAAACTCTGAGCCGAAGCTGCTCAAGTGTCCAACATCTATCGCAGGCGCGTCTGCCCCAGATCAAAATGATGTCCATGAGCTCCCACATACAACAGTTTTTACACACGATGTGCACTGTACCCGTCAGAAAGTCACCAACAGAAACTCTCAAAGCTGTGTTCATCCAGCTCTACACCTTGTTATCAATAGGAACTCTCAATGTTTTTATATCTTCAGCTAGTTTTCAACTGTGCTTGAATATTTCCCTCCTTATTAAAATATCATCATTCTTTGCAGTCTTTAATGTTCAGTCCAATCTTTTGACTTGACATATGTTTGCAGAATTATATGTTTTTTCTTATGGTTGACACTGACGTGAAGTTTTTCGGGTAGTGACAAACAGTGTGTCCTGTCCTTGGAACATAGAATATCCCCTTAAATACCGACCACTGAGTCTCCATCTGGACTCAGCATTTTCAAAGTTATATTTGCCTTGTCACCAAAGACAGAAAAGGGATTAAAAACCAAAAGAAATGCGGATGCTGTAAATCAGGAACAAAAACAAAGTTGTTGGAAAAGCTCGAAGAGGCGGGGATGGAGCCAGTAAAGGTGAGTGTAGGTAGGGAGTTAGGAAGGGGATAGGTCAGTCCAGGGAGGACGGACAGGTCAAGGGGGCGGGATGAGGTTGGTCGGTAGGAGATGGAGGTGCGGCTTGAGGTGGGAGGAGGGGATAGGTGGGAGGAAGAACAGGTTAGGGAGGCAGGGACGAGCTGGACTGGTTTTGGGATGCGGTAGGGGGAGGGGAGATTTTGAA